TCATGGGATTTGAGCTAAATACCCTTTTTTTTATATATAACTCTCTTTCTTTTATGTTAATGGTATCATATTTTCAGGTTTCTCACGATTTGTGTGTTTTTCATTCATTAAATGTTTTGGTAAGTAGCAATCATAAATAAGTGACTGAACATTAAGAAATTGTTTTTATCATTCAAGAAATGCTCTTTGTTCACAGGAATGCATTTTACGGCATCTTTTTTTGTCGTTTTTTCCATTTAAGGAAAACTCTACATATCTATGAATGTTTAACAGTTTAAGTTAAAATTAAACTATATCAAAGTTTTAAAATATGTTATCTCCGCGCAAGGCGCGGGGTACTGCGCTAGTAACAATATATATTTACTTAGATTCATGAACTAAGCCAACTTTGTGTGCACTAAATATTTGATTATACAATCGACTAGACATTGCTCATCTGTTTCACGCTTTATGTGATTCCTATAGAGAGATTAACAATATAAGAAGATATCAAAAGACTAACAAATTGTTTCAATTCCAAAAAGGACTAATTTTATAGAGAGATTAACAATATAACAAGGCAAAATTCTTGGTTCTCTCTAAATATAACCAAATGAGAAGACTGAACCATGGGCTGAGTGGTCGAACCGGTTTTCGCCTTATCGAAATGTGAACAGAAAACATGGACGAGTTCAGGAACAAATGGGTGAAATGTTTACCGCATACTATCGAATACCAAAGATTTGAAACGAAGATGAGATTGACTACGGATTTAGGCGGCAATTTCGTGAGAATCTCTATAATTAAATCTAGAGGAATAGAAACTGAGTATTTTTCATCACCTTCTTTGTCACGTTTCTTAGACCTAGTATGATTCTCAGAATACTGCCTCTTTAGAGAAGAAAGCAAATCCACAAATATATTTTGTTAAGATCAAGAAAAAAATTATAAATCTTATAATTGTGGTATATGTATATACTTTCTAAGCCAACGATTGGCCCATCTTCATTTAGGGTTTTTGAAGTTAAAAATCGTAAACCGCAAGAAACCAGAAGAAAAGAGTAAAAGCTGTTTTGAAGTTAAATTAAAAACTTGTCGAAAACTAAAATAATGAAGACTAAAAGACTTGGAAAGAAGTTCAAATTTCTCAGCTCTAAGTTACAGTTATTCAAAAATGTCAAAAACTTTGAAAATGCGATAAAAAAGAAGTCAACACTGATGAGGATTACAATCGTTATAAGAAATTTTGTTATTTTCATAATTGTTATAATCAACCAAGATGTCAACACTGATGAGGATCACGAAACATCACTTTGTTATTAGAGAATTTTATTGCGAAAAAATTATCCAAAAAGTACGATTTGGGAAAATCATTTTATTATCTGAAAAGGAATTTGGTGATTACGGACTTCGGAGGGACCGAGTGGGCATGTGTTTTGCTCAGATAAGCTCACATGGCCGACTCCATTACTAATGCTTAGCTGTGTAATCAATAATTCTTTATACTTGTAAAATATATTAAATCTTATACTTTAACAAAAAAAAAATATATTAAATCTTATATTTAACTTATTTATTACTCTATCTTCCATTTATTTTATAATAGATTATCTTCTTGAAAAATTCTTTTATTTTAAGACGTTTTCAATTTTTAATGTAAAAATTAATGAATTTTTATTGATTTTGACTGTTTATATTATGCAGATTGTTTTATTTTTTGTTGAATTGTATTTAAATAATAAAAATAAATTTTAAAAAATGTCATTTTTCAAGTGCCACTTTACAAAAATGCCATATTTTTGAAATCTTTACAAAAATGCCACTTTTTCAAAAAAAAAAATTTATACTATTTATGTTTGGGTTAATTATGTTTTATTAAAGTTTAGTTACGAGGGTTTAGGAGTCAAAACATTTTTTAGGGTTTAGAATTTTAAGATATAGGCTTTATAAATCTATAATTAGTGGTATTTTTGCAAATAGACACCCATAAATAGCATTCTTGCAAATGTGCACACAAAAAATGGCATTTTTGTAATTGGTCCTTAAATAAATAATAAATGATGTTTTCGATTAGTAAAAACAAAAAACTAAATGATTTATTCATTTATATGCAAAAAATTTCAACATCATCTATTGTAAAACCGAAAGAGTACTAGACTGTATTATTTAGAGAGATTTTTTT